CATTATTAGGTAAAGGTTAATTGCATCAAAGTATGTATAGTTTTCCTTATTTAGTTTACTAATATGGAAAGCTACCTAGAATACTATTGTAAGAATGGAAGTCTAATTTTTTATTGCAAATTAATCAGTCACCATCAATGAGCCATTTCAAGCTTTAAGAAGTGCCGATACATATAAATGCTTACAGATTTTTATGCTTTCAGTTGTAGTTAAGTGAATCTATAGGGCACAGTTGGGGACAATAATGAGGACAGTAGCAAATATCTTGAGTTATCATTTAAGTTTGGAGGCAAAGCCATTGGTAGTTATACTTGGTAGCCCCCCCGCCAAAAAAAGAAGTACCAGAATAAAACCTACCACCTCCGATATAAAATCATAGTTTTCTACAGATTATATCTTAAGTTTGTTGCTGGTGTTATGGGATTTCTTTCCCTGATTTAGCAAGGCATAAAAAATGATAGAGCTACCAACGTGCATGATGAAAATGGGAGGATATAGAGACAGGTGGAAAATGTTGCCACCCTGAGCAGCACTGAATACAGGACACAGCATTGTCAGCCTGGGACTAATGCACAGACACGTAATAAGTCTGAGCATGGTCTCACAGTACCGTCTTACTGAGTATAAGATGACGTAAGTTGGGAGGTGTGAGGGAGGAAAATTGGGAAGAAGATCTGCTTTACGTGTTGACAGCGTTGCACGTATTGTACCTTTCATATAAGTCTATACCTTCTGCGGGGTGGGAGAGGTAGGACATTGATTTTGGAATATAAGATATATTAGGCAATGAATAAGAGACTTAACTGTGTATTTTCTTAATGTCGGAAGCCAAAAGGAGACAGGTGGCCTTGAAAAATTAATAGCTTTTAAAAGGCATAAGGAAATATAACTTAAGGAGGTGTTCTTATGAAACACTGGTGAGAAGCTGTGTTTTGGGGTTGATCTTAATTAAGAACATACCCCCGTTGGCCTAAATGTCTCACATTTTTTGCCCTTGGTGTTAGGCTCACCATGAGCCGGGTCAATTCACAAGGCAATTTTTGTAAATAAAGGTTTGGGATAAGCTGAACGTGGTCCAGAGAGACATTAACAAGAGGGCACGGGGGAAGAGATAATGAAAACACTGCCTGGTGGAACATAAACTACTTTTTGGACTTAGAGAAGGCTTTAGAATGATATTTCCCAAACCCTCTGGCACTTCTTTTCTGGAGGAGATGGGATGGGGAGAAATGACAAATAGCTCCATTTTATTATTTTCTTCTCTCTAGTTCTCCATATTTTTGGTAGGGAAAATTGGACATTAATTTTGGCCGTTTTCCTTCTGTTCGCAGAACCAATTACGTTTTTAGTGCATGATGCATAATAAATTTACCCAGGCATCCTCTGGCTGAAAAGTAATGAGTTGATTATTTGTACATCCCTTCTTTAAAGGCAGCTAATTGTATGGAAAGTATAGGCCCCCATCATCTGCCCCCTTTCAACTTTTATCCTCCTGAAATTTGTTCCCAGTGTCTGGGATGTATAGTTTAGTTGTTTTGCATCACTGGCTTTTGTATATTCTGAGAAAAAATGATTTTGAGCTTTCAAGTCATATAATCTCTTGACTAAAATCTCAGACCACTAGTGTTCCAGGATCTACAAAATCTTACAGCCTGTTTTGTCTAAAGGAGACTTGGCTCCCCTCAGGAGAATAATACCTTGTAGAGAGCTGTGTACATAGAATCAAGAATTGTGGCAGTGGCAGTTTTTTTGTTTGTTTTGTTTGTGATAAATTTTGCCTGCTCTGGAATTCTTTCGTCCACTCAGGAGTGATTATTCCGTCTAGAATAATCTGTGCTTTTCAGTAAAATAAGAGATCACCTCTCCTTGGTTGGAAGAAAATTTAGTAGAGTTCTAGTTTGCATACCACTTCACAATTCACCCGCAGTAGTTATATAATTGGTGGTGTGTGTGTGTCCATCGTAGAGGACATTTGATGCTCATTTATTAAATATGCTCGCTGGCTGCTGCCGCATCTTTGTTCTGGACAGACAAATTACCTTTCTCACACTGAGCCTCTACTCTGGGGAATTAAGCCTCCACCACTTTAATTAGCTTGGAAGTAGGGGGTTGCAGCTTCTAATAGACTTCAGGCTTTTAGTAAGTTAGGGAAAGGGTGAAACGAGAACTTCCTGGGAAGCTCAAAATGTCATTTAAAAACCATAAAAACCTAATATATATTATTTCATTGCAGTAATTGCAAACAGATTGTATTTGACGACTGTGTGGAGTATCATTTCTAACTTAAACATTAAAGTTAGACTTCCATGGAACTACGTTCTATAATTGAGCACGTCATGAACACATTATATAAGTTTGATTCATATATTTACAATATTTATGTAATATTAAGTGGCATAGCAGATAGGAAATACTAAGGGAAGAGTAGCATCTGAATGTGTGTGTGTGTATGTACACTCATGCATATACACACATACCTATAGGTGGAGAAGGATATGGTGAATAGACATCACATGGGGATATTAAAATAATAATGATAATTGATAATATTTGTTTAGCTTTTATTAAGTGCCAGGCACCGCTGAATGTACTCCCCATATATTATATAATCCTTACTACAGTCTTATTATCCCCACTTGAAGGATGAGGAAACCGAGACATAGACAATTAAGTAACTTGCAAAAGGTTACACAGCTGTAAATATTAACACAAAACTTCCTGCAGAGAAGGGACTTGCCTTTAAGATCCACGTACAAGGCAAGATGTTATAATTCATTCTTTTCAGAAAGAAACTTGCTTTTACAGAGTTCAATAATTCACTGTAGAACTTTACATCAGAAACTTTCTAATAGTCCATTTATTGTCTCATTTTCTCCACTAGTAAAAGTGCAGAAAATGTTATGCTTTAGTTCTTCACTGCTGGGGTAAGTAGCGTAGAAAGCCTCTATCAAGTCACAGTTGGGAAGTAATCTAATAAAAGAAGATTAGTGAATGTAGGGAAGACAAAAGCAGTCATGTTTGAGTTTAATATCTCTCAAATTTAGCATTTTAGCTAAGATGCCCGTTTTTATTTCTTGCAGGTCTGCTAAAAGGTCAGAGTAATGCAGAATGCGTGCCTTCATCTCAGATCTTGTTCATCACAGGTGGATCCCATGTGTCTTCAGTAGACAAGTCACCTTTATAGCTAGCACCAGTGCCAGCTCCATGCCATTGCACCTTCTTTAGTCTTGATTGCTCTTCCCGCATTTATTGGTGTATTAAAATGACTGAATATGAACATTAAGGACTCCATGAACCTGGGCTAATGGGAGACTGTAGAGAAAATGAAAAAAGATCCACCGGAGGACATCTTTGGGGGGGAGGGAGCTTGGGAGGAGGGAAATGACTAATGAAGCTAATTAAAAGAAGCATTCAAATCTGCTTTCTACCCTCATTAACAATTAGCAGGGCACTGGCCAGAGTTTGTACCCTGTGTTTTACCTTAACAACATTCTATTTGCTCTTTGTATATTTAAGTGTTGTAAGGAAATGTGTTTCAATCAAAACTGAACATGAGATAAAGGAAAGAGATGTGGCTTTTGTGATATTCTATCACAAACACTTTTATTGTATCTCTGTAAAATACATTGTATGTATGCATGTAAGTGTTTTTGTCCTAATGTTGCTACTCCCATGGCAAAGACAAAAAAAAGAGTGAAAAAAAGAAAAAAAATTGGAAAAAAAAATCAAGCTCATAGCAGCTACTGTGTAGAAATTCCCCCCTACTTCTAATTTGCTGAATGAAGAAAAAATCTTTTATTTGTGATATTTTCAGAGACATTTGCTCTAGTATGGTGTATTTAAATAATAAAAACTTAAAAGAAAAAATATTCAATGGAGTTTGGGTTTAAAAACTGCTTTTTCTTTTTTGTGTTTTGGAAAATTTTAGTGTTTTTGTTCTATACCAAGTTCACTTTAAAAAATCTTAGGGGGTCAAAGGAGGTGGTGCGTATGTTTTATTTAGCTCTGAGCCAATAAGGTATTCTTCAAATTACTTAACTATGCCATTTTTGGCAGGGGTACAAAGACATGTTTCTAAAGGAGTCCTTTTTATAAGTTCAGAATATTCTGTTAACAGCACGTCATTACACTTCTATATCACAGTGAATCTTTTGTGTTTATATATATACATTTATTTGATTCTTCAACTATTTCATTTATTCTTTTTTCTCAATAGGAAAGCCTTGGGTATTGATGGAAAGCATGTTAAAGAATGTGGCATAACCATCTTGTTCTCTTACCAAGTTTATAGCTTTTGAAGGAAATAGCAGTTCTAAAGCATACCTGTTCAGATTTTGAAGTTCCATTAGTTGTTAGGAACCCTGAACTCTCTCCCGGTCGTCTTTGATGGGTGAAACCGCCATTTTTTGCTTAGCTTTTAGTCTCGTGATCTGCTGTATGATTTGTTTATTTTGTCTTGTTCTTACACTCCTGTACTGACTCTGCCTTTCCATATGTTTGGGGGAGGATTTGGATTTCATTTAGTAGCACTCTTGAGATACTTGGTCGCCAGTTCTAGGCAGCAGAATCTCCCTACATGCGCCTGCATTGGCTGCAGATTTGTCCTGCGGAAAAACGTTTAGGGCAAGGATTCAGTGAACTCGGGGTAGGTGCTGGAAGGAGGAACAATCTGAAAGTTACTCTGTGAGGTTGTTGGATGTGAGCAGAACCCAACTGCAACTTCTCGCACAGGTTAATAAAGCCAGGTGTGTTCACATTGATACTTTAAGTTTTATTTTCTCTTATTCCAAAGAAAAGCTCCCATACAGACTTACCTTGTCTCTGAGAATAGGAATCGGTTCTGCAGGGAGGTCAGGCTCACCACATCTCAGCTAGCTGTCAGCTTCCCTTTGGGACCTCCTGCTTTCAGAGATTCCAGGCCAAAAGGAAAAAATCAGTTTTCTAGCTGAAGACCTCCTATAAACCTCCTATGGGAGAATTTAAAGGCAAAGTTAAAGTGAATAGTTTATTAGAACTTTATAAAAAGAACATGCAGGAAAAAAGTTACATAAACAATACCTGTTAGAGTTGGATCCTTGGGGAATTTCTAGGAACTAGTTCTGGTTCTTTTTTTTTTTCCTTTTAGATAACTAAGGGAACGTGAACTGAAGGCTTCAGGATAGAAAAGGAGAAAAGTGTTCATGAGAATGGAAGCATCTTCTCAATTTTTCTTGGCATAAGCACTCGTGTCCCATATAATGTAGAAATTCAAAGGAGATAGTTAATAACTTTTAGTCAGTAATACAGCTGTGGCATTCAGTGATGTGGAGGGCTAAGGTCATTAAAGACTTTAAATGAACTATTATGTGGCTGGTTCCTCAAGCACTGCTGCGTATTTAATAACGAGCTTCTAAAAGCATTTCTTAAGTTGCAGACCTATAAGATTACAAATGTCACTCATGTTAGTATAATCCACATGCAAGTGATGAAGCCTTCTCTTTGATGTGCTAAATTGGAGAAGGACTAATGGAGCTATGAATATACAATAGAACATATTTAAGTAGTAGTCTTGCTTTAGGTAAAACACTTCCCTTGAAACCAGAGGCATTTCAAACAATAAAACTGGTCTCTAATGGGGATGCTCTGTGGATGGAAAGCTACTGAAAACACTCAGGTTTATTCTGATGTGAGCAGTGATCGTATTCCTCTCCCAACCCCAACATTGCTGGGGAAAAAAAGGAAACCCACTTGCTTGTTCACCTTTCATCACTGCATTTGATGTTAGTGAGATGTACTCTGTTATTTTGAAAGGACTTACTTAATATTAGGCACATCGTAGAGCAAGATGGCCCTAGTCCTTAACAAGCCAGTGCAATTAAAAATAAAAGCAAATGTGACTGAGCCCAGCTGAACTCCTGATTTTAAAAAAAGTTTATGATATATATATATAAATGTCTCAATCATGCAAATTGTCAATCTTGCTAATGAAACAATTTTGTAAAAAGATTTTCCTCTGAAAGAGTTTAATGTTTTTTTACCTATCTGTCTAGTTAGATTTACACAGCCTGAAAGGCAGAAGAGCCTGAATGACGCTTTTCCAAACCAAATTGTTTGCCACAAGAAACTATTTCCAGCTCTTCATGACTTATTAGGAAATAGTTTAACACAGACTGTAGTGTCTTATGAAATGAGAAAACTGTCACTGAAATGAAGCTTGTGAAATTGTCATCCTCTTAATATTTATTTAAATTCTTTTGCCCTGATTAGCACTGATATTTGAAAACTGATAACCTATAATGAAGCTCTTAAATGGCTTGAATGTCAATATAATAAGGTTCTAATGTGCTCTACTATTTATATAAAATATTTCTTGGGCCAATAAATTACATAACAGTGAATCCAAGATCTGTCTATCAAAACACTATAGTGAAGGGTTTCCAGGTAGCCTAAGTAATTGTAAATTGAGAAGGTGTCCAAAGCCTCTTCCACCCAGGAATTCTATCCTGGGTGCTTGCATCCTGTGCCTTGGTTGCAGAGGATGTGGGAACGCAGATCGTTTATAAGTTGATGTTACTTGTCGCTTTGTCACAGACTCACCTATTGTCAGTTCAGCCAAGTCACAGAAATGCTTATTGCAGTTAAATAGCAATTTGTTTCCATGAAACTGCAATTAAAGTATTACAGAGCAGCCATTTTAGATTGGCAAGGCTCTGAGTGCATGTTAAACAGCCAGCGATTCCCACTTGCAAAGTCTGGGATCTGACTAGCAGATCCCAGTGTCACACATGCACCCGTGTTGGGTATTTAGTTAAGAGGCTTCTGCAGCTCTCTGCTCACTTTGTGAACATGCTGAGAGCTATCCATGTCAGTGCTGATTTGGGGAAGGTGAACTTGCAACTTACCTCGAGTGAATACTATTTTCAGTTGTACAAGGAGCGCTTTCTGCTAGTGGATAACGTACATGTTTCCGAGAGGGAAGGTTTTCAAGTTCAGATTGATTCTGTGGAGAATGGACTGTAACTCGGAAGCCTGAGGCCAATAATGTACTACAGGTCCTGACACGTTACAGCTGTGTCAACAGGGCCGTTCTCGCTCCTAAATCACAGCTAGTGAAGCAGGGGATGAAAATCAACTGATTCTGTTATAAGCTCTTTGAATGACACTAGAAAGTTGTTTAATGACTCTGTTAGAAGGGACAAGCCTGAGTGGAGCTTCCTCTATACCTATTTTAATTGTTTCTCTCCCCTTTGAAACAGAACTGGACAACTTTCCTGGTTGTTTGCATCACCATCCCCGGATCAAAACCTGCAGGGGAAAAAGAGGCTCTGAACTGAATTCTTGTAAAGTTCAGGATTTGTTGAGTGAAGAAGGTGAAGTGCAAAAGTTTTATGGAAAATGCAAAACCTTGATGTAAGATCCTGAGAGAGGAAAGGCTTTCAGAGGTGGTGTTTTAAAATGCAACTAGCGGTGCATTCTAACCAGCTTGGAAACCATCATTAGCTATGAGAACAGGGGGCATTGTGCCTTCTTTCAGCCTAGAAAGTTCTACCTTGAACCAAAAGGTTTATGATCGCCACTTAAAACAGTTTTCATGTGCAGTGCATCTATTTATAGGATTTTACCTGTGTTGTTTGAGCTGTAATTTTTTAAGTGAGAGGAAAACATTAAGAGTGTTTCTTCCTAAATTAATTTTTCATTGTTGGAGAATTGAATGTTTTTAGGAACAGAAAAGGGTAAATCTGAAGATGAACTGAATTTACAAATGAGGATTAATTATGAGGAGATTAATTATGAAAACTGGAAAGGAAATTGCTTGCTTGGGCTATGAATGTATGTCTTTTTCTTTATTTAAATATGGTTGGTTAGAGATGGGTGTGTTTTCAAGTCTTCATATCCTTCTAAGGCATCTGATTAATTTCTGTACTCAGTTACGGGACTTAAACTTTCCATCACCCTTACATCTTTAAATATAATGTTTAATATAATGACTTTATCTTGGAGTCGTGCAATGCTTTGTAGATGTATTTATATGTTAACATTTACTGTTAGCAAGTTCTTACACATGTTACTTCGGTCCTTTCACTAATCATCTTGATTATTGGCTCAGTTATACAGATGCCGTCCTGAAGTTTGAGGGAGGTGACTTATGAAAGCAGGACCAGTTCTACAGTTAGGGGAATAGGTGCTTCCTTTGGGTGCAACTTTTAAGTAATCAAGACAATGCTTTAATGCAGTACTTTTAAAAATAGAATTAATGCAAAAACATCCATGATGAACAAAATAATCACAATTTCCGATAAAGGCAGGATCAGTATACTTACCATTCTTTTTCTTCAGGCTCCCAGCATTGCTGGGCACTGTTATTAATGTTCAAAGTGCCCGAGCTGCTAGTGCCCTGGCATTTTGGTAGAGTTGCCTTACAAATTGTGAGACAGCAACAATGATATATTTTATTCTATGAGCTATAACAATTTTTTTTTCTTCCCTTCAAAAGCTAAAGTATTGCATTTTATTTTTATCCAACTTGGAATTGCCGATTCATTTAGATTACCTGCATATTTTAGCCTCGCTCTAAAAGAAATTTCTCTTGAATTTTGACAAAGCTCAACAACTTCATGGTGAATAATAAAGTATGGTTGATAACAACTATGACTACAAGTTGTTGCTGAGGAAAAGGAGGGAGACTTCAGGAATCCTATTAGTCCAGAAGGCAAAATGGATAACTAACTATATCCCATACAAAGAAGTAGTAAATGGTATGTTTAAAATGTCTGAATGAGCTGTGGCTTGGGCCTGCAGTTCATATTTGTGGCAAATAAAAGACCAATGAATCCAATTATGTAAAAGTAACATATACATATATAAGTATAAAAGAGGTAATACAATAGTTTGTATAGAA